GTGTTATCCCTCACAAGAGAAAACAGGCAGAACAAGTCCATAGTGATGGGAGAAGTGAGTCCAAGATCCAAGCTGCTACTCTAAGCAGGAACCAAAACCAGAAGGCCTAAGACTCATCCTAAGACTCATCCAGACTTCACACACACACACACACACACCAAATTATTCTATTATACATAAATATATATGTGACATGTTATATTTTACATATTTGGGGGGTATCCCTATAACTAGAGCTTGAATTCAGGGTCAGGACACTATCCCTTAGCTCGTTCACTGAAGGTTGTTACTCTTCCACTTATTAAGTCACCAGTCTACTTCTGGCTTTTTGGTAGTTACCTGGAAATAAAAGACTAACGAACTTTCCTACCCAAGCTGGCTTTAAACCGTGATCCTCAGATTCAGCTTCCTAAATAGCTAGGATTATAGGTGAAAGCCACAGATGCCTGGCTAGATCTAAACTCTAATTCCATCATTTCACATTAGAGAGCCCCCTTACATATTATTCTTTCACATACAGGATCTTATTTAGTCCTCGAAACTAGTTTGAAGCCAAGCAATTGTGGCTCAAACCTATAATCCTAGCTACTTAGGAGTCTGAGATCTGAGGATCACAATTCAAAGCCAGCCCAGGCAGGAAAGTCCATGAGACTCTTGTCTCCAATAAACTACTCAGAAAAAGCCGGAAGTAGCACTGTGGCTCAAGTGGTACAATGCTAACCTTGAACACAAAGAGGTCCAGGGACAGTAACCAGGCCCTGAGTTTAAGCCCCATGACTAGCAAAACAAAACAACAAAACAGACATACAAAGAAAAAACTAGTTTGTAGGCCCTGCAGCACAGCAGGCAGATCTAAATTTGCTTTAAGGCAAGCAAATGGTATGAGAGGGTAAAAAACAGCAGGGCATGTTGACACATACCTGTACTCCCAGTACTCAGGAATTGAAGGCAGGAGAATGGAGAGTTCCAGGCCAGTCCTGACTACACAGTGAGACCTTTTCTTAAAAAAAAAATTTAAACAAGAAATGTCAAAGTAACTTCTTGGTGTCACCCAAATGGTTAGCAGTAAAGGAAATAAAGTGCACATTGGTCAGAATCCACACTGGCTTTGCTGTTCAATTCTCAAAAGCTCAATTTCTATTTGTTGTCATTATGAAGTAAATAGCATTTGCAGAGTACCTCTTACAGTGTTCGGCATACAATAGTTGTTCCATCAATGGTCATTTCCTTCCTCTCTCCCTTTCTTGTTTTTTCATCTATGAAGTCTGGACTGTTTATATTGCCTCAGAGTTGCTGCCTTTAACTGAATATAAGAAATCTGTCTATCCAACTCATCCTTCCAGAACTTATTATTCATCTGTGTGTGTGTGTGTGTGTGTGTGTGTGTGTGTGTGTGACAGTCCTAGGGTTTGAACTCAAAGCCTGAGTGATGTCCCTGAGCTCTACCATTTGAGCCACAGCTACACTTCTGGATTTTTGGTGGTTTGTTAAGAGATAAGAGTCTCAGAGACTTTCCTGCCAAGGCTGGTTTTGAACCATGATCCTCAGATGTCAACCTCCTGAACACCTAGGATTACAGGCATGAGCCACTGACACCTGGCTATTCAGCCTTTTATTTATTTTTTTGTCTGTTATAGGGCTTGAACCCTGGGCCTGCGCGCACTGTCCCTCAGCTCTTTAGCTCAAGGCTAGTGCTCTACTACTTGAGCCACAGCGCCACTTCCAATTTTCTGGTGGATAATTGGAGATAAGTCTCAAAGACTTTCCTGCCTGGACTAGCCTTGATCCTCAGATCTCAGCCTCCTGAGTAACTACGATTACAGGTGAGAACCAACAGCACCCAGCTATTCATCCATTTTTATCAAGGGATTGAATTAGTTCATTCTATGCTCTTTTCAAACGCTGATAGTTGAGAGGTCTTATGAAAACTGAAGCAGGCTTCCAGTCCAGCTAACAGACCAGCATTGGGAAGCTCACCTCTGTTGTACCCACATCGCCATCAGGGGGCGCCTGGCATCACTTATGCCTTGCCATAAACCCAGGTCCAAGGCTTTACAGAGTTTTAGAAAGCCCATCATCCCAAGTTTTAGAAGGCCCACCATCCCCGTCACCCTTACTTCCCTCCTAAAGGCTGGAGAAGAGAAAAAGCGTTGTTTTCTACAAGGAAAAGCTGCTCTACTTCATAAGTGCTGAGGGATGAAGCTAAAGTGGAATTACAGCCCAGTGATTGACCAGGAGAACCACAGCATATACTTGCCACCATCCTCTAGAAGCATCTGGCCACGAGAGAGACCTGGGAGCATTTGCTACCAATTCACCCTTACCCTGATTCTGCCTGTTCCTTTCTAGCATAGCCAATCAACAGCTCTGGAGATGTTCTTCATGCTTTCTCCAACTCAACCCCCTTTTCCTTTTCCTGTCATATCTGCCCCATTCCCAGCTCCTGCTTACAGACTCTGGGAGAGCCAGAGGCTCCAGGGCTCTTTGGTTCTTATATGTCTGCAAGTCTTCACATCTCTGGAATCAGAGCATGGCTATTTGTCTTCGACAATTCAAGTACTCCACCTCCAGCTGGCAAAAGCAGCCTGCTGCCCCTCCAAGGATGTAAATCTCCTCTGACTTGACACCCAGCTACACACTGCTAGAGAAATGAGCAGAGGGGCTGCCTCTTGCAGCTGTCAGGTGCACTGGTGACAATCTGCAGATGGAATTCACAGCCCCGTTCAAGCCTAAACATTCCAAAGGAGGCTGACAGTTGGCACACAGGGCTGTGTCAAACAGGACTCAGGCAATCACTCTTCAAGGATAATTCTAAAAACCAAATCCTCCCCCATCCAAAATCATCTTATCCCCTCCTAGGACTGACTGGACCAACTTTCCTTTAAGATGTTGAAAAAATATCCAGAGATGGTGAGAGAAGGCTCTCTGATTTATTCCCAGGCTCAGGAAGACTTCCTTGTCCACTAAACCGTAGTTCAAATGTGGAGCTCTTGCCAAGGAACCCTCCATATGCAGACACCAGAGACCTCACACTGCCCTGGGTTGGAAGGAGAAAGTTATCTTTGGTATGCAAACATCCTGAGAAATACAACCTGGGCTCCAGGGGGGAAGGGAGGAAGAAGAAGTACAGCCAGGTCTAATCCACTGGGAACACCCTTATGTGGAAATGCTCTGAGCTTATCCTGAGGGCCAATTGAGGTTTGAAAATTAGGGCCCCTGGACCTGAATCAGCAAGGACCATGGTCCTCCTTCATGAAATTTACATAAGAACCCACAAATGATCCAGTGATTGCCACAGAACTTTCATGTTTCCAAAGGAAACGTGTCAGATAAGCTATGTAAAAAATTCAGATAAGCCAGGCACCAGTGGCTCACACGTGTAACTCTAACTACACAAGAGGTTCAGCTCTGAGAACTGCAGTCTGGGCAGACAAATCTGAAAGACTGTTAGCTCCAACTAATGAGTAAAAAGCCAAAAGTGGAGTTGTAGTTCAAGTGGAAGAGCATCAGCTTTGAGTGAAAAAGACAAGCAACAGCAAAAGGTTCTGAGTTCAAGCTCCAGTTTCTTGTAAGCATATGTGCACATTGTACTTATGCACACACACACACACACACACACACACACACACACACAAATATGTTAGAAAAGTTTCTACAAACTCAGATCTCTAATTCCAGTTTTTCTTCAAGAGGAGAACAGATTTCTGCATCCCAACAGAGATTATGGAGATGTGTATAATCCAAGAAATTTGCCCAACACAAACAATACTCTGTGCCTCCACATACACACAGAAAGTACTGGTTCCTGACAGTGATGAGACCTTAAGAATCCTCTGTTAGCTTATAGCAGGAGAAATGAAAAATGGCTTAGGCCCTAGGCCAGCACACAACAAATCCTGTGGCTCCTATGCACTTTGCAACTCACTTGCAAGTAGATTCCAAGAGTTTCAGACAGGATAGGAAGGAGGGGGGATCAAAGGCTCAACAGTCCCCTTCACCCAAACAGACTTCAGTTTTTGTTTGATGAGGATTAGAAGGAACGGGACAGGGATTAGACCTGATTTACTGCCTCTGTCAACAGCCAGCTCTGAGTTAAAAGGAAGGAGCAAATAGATTATGCAAAGAAAACAAAGGGAGAGAAAAAGAAGGCAAAGGACAAACTGCCTTCAGTAATATTTATTAATTGGATTTTAAATGGAAGGGATAATTTCCAATGGATCCCCTTCCTCCTAGCCCTGTAGAATCCCGCCGCGCCCCCCTCCCCCCCAACCCTGAAGCATCCTCCTGATACTGCTGTGAGGTAGATCAGAGCTGTTCTGGGTCTGAGGTGAAATGCTGGTCCTAGGACAGCTGCATTGAAGGAGTTAGGGACAAACCCAAACCTTGTCTTTTCTAGCCTCCTGCCTCTCCAGGCCAGAGCCTGGGCTACAGAGTTTAGAGAAAGTGCAGCTGTTCATTCATGGGTCTGAGCAGCAGGAGGAAGGGAGCTGGGTACAGAGAGCTGGGTGCTCTTCCCTCCCCCAGCACACATGTGCTTTGGGAACACCCCCTTGCCAAAGCCACAAGACTTGCACTGGGGGCCATCCCGGTCACTCCCAAGCTGCTGAGGTAGTAAAGTTCAGGGCTTTCCAAAACTTCTCAGGTAAAAAAAGAGAGAGGGTGGTAAAAATCCACTTGCATGCAGAGATCCAGCCTGTTTTGGAGAGCAGTTTCACAGCTGGGGCTTCCCTATGGCTCATTCAGATCATCTGCATCCATGGAGTTCTTTCTTGCCCTTCAGGCCTTGGAAATTCCCCCAGAAAGGCCTACAAAACAGAGATAATAAGCGTTAGGGTGGGAACCCCAGGCACTGGGGAAGAATGAGAGACTCTTGAAGGCATCATCACACAAAAACAATGAGTGACTACCCAGCCACAAGAATCCCACTCTCCTCCACCCTGGCTCTCAGGGTCGGGGACAAATTCCCACTCACAAGTTGTTTGCTCACCGCCTGTGGTCCTTCACACTGGAAGTAGGTTCTCACCTCCATAGCCATCAAACCTATGAGAAAAAGCAGAACTGAGGCCAGGCTGCTCTCAGTCCAAGACCCAGCCAGGTATAGTGATGGCCAGACAGCCACATTGGCAGAAGAAGAACTTAGCTAGAAAAGCAAAAACTAGACCCTCCAGGGAGTCTAGAAGCCAAAGCAATGTCCCACGGTGCCATGAGTCCTAGGGTGAAGAACAGCACACCTGCCTTCCTCCATCTCAACAGTAGTGGCCCCATCCAGGAAAAGAAAGGGTTCCATTCCCTGTTCCTTCATATCCCTCCCCTCCTCCGCCCCCCCCCCCCCCCCCCCCCCCCCCCCC